TTTATGATTTTTATTGCAATATTCGGTTAAAGTTGTTAAACTCGGTTATTTAAAGATGCAATCGGGGAATTTCTACGAGTGTCTTATAGTTGCAGAACTCGCACGGAGCTTATTCTATCGTCAACTTATGAATTATCAGAAAATTCAAATAGAAAAGCCGTAAAATTTCCACGTATACTATTGATATTATTATTAGAAAATGACTGACAATAGCTTTCATTACCCTCGCAAGACCAAGCAAGGCCGCTGTCATCACAGTTACATCTTTTACCCCGAGAGGTTTTAGCACAGTGTGCCAAATATTATCAGCAAGACCGTTCACCTTACATACATTTCAGTTCCCGGATAAGTTCCTGGTAATTTTTCCAATTGTTTTCAATTTTTGCATTTAAAAAAAAAATTCAAACTATACACTGTTAATTCAGCTACAGTCTATTCTGAGACATGTACTCTTTTTACAGCCATCAGTTCCGGTCTCATCATCTGGATGGCTTTTTGCATTTGAATATCCCATAATTCACATCTATTTCCTACTAGAGTCTCAGATTTTTATTAGATCATTTGTTTACATACACGACTCCAAGTCGTTTGCAATTCCACGTAATTCTTATGGAATTAATAGATTGTTATCCATAATCAGACATTTCTCGTGATATACGATATATTTAGTGGTTACACGTGTTTGAGTAGACGTTTCTTTTTCAACTATATAATTTTTCATGTGCACGCGGCTGAGTGGTTAGAACGTTCGCATTCAGACCATAGGACACGGGTTCGAATCTTACCATGGTCGGAACACCAGTGACAATCCCTTTCCACACTGTTCGGTCCTGCATTTTTGAACCCCAGTGTCCAACCCTGAGTCTCGAGCTATTTTGTCTGCGAAAGTCAATTTTTGTGAGAAGACTCTTCCAGAAGGATGCCATAAGAGTAAGGATGAGACGATTTCCCTGTCCGCTCGGTGGCAGTGGCCGGTAAACTGTAATTGTTTTTGTTTAAGCTGAAGAGAGATTGGTTTCAGTTCTACGTAAATTGCGTTAAACGTTGCATGGGATCTCCAACTGATGCATTTTAAAACACCTACCTCTGATATCAAAGTCTTTATAAACAGTCGGTATTAAAATAAAACTCATGCAAAGAATCAAATAGAAAATGAAAAAAAAGCAAACATTGAGGAAAATAATAATAATAATAAGAAGAAGAAGAATAATAATAAGAATAAGAAGAAGAAAAGAGGTAAAGAATAAGTAAAAGGAATAATAATAATAATAATAATAATAATAATAATAAGAAGAAGAAGAAGAAGAAGAAGAAGAAGAAGATGATGGTGAATAGGATAAAAAATGAAGAAGATGAGGATAAAGAAGAAAGAAAAGAAGAAGATAATAATAATAATAATAATAATAATAATAATAATAAAATAATAATGGGAAGAAGAAGATGATGGTGAATAATGGAGAAGTAGAAAAAAGAAGATGAGGATAAAGAATAAGGAAAAGGCAGAGGTGAATAATAATAATAATAATAATAATAATAATAATAAGAAGAAGAAGAAGAAGAAGAAAAGAGGTAAAGAATAAGTAAAAGGAATAATAATAATAATAACGGGAAGAAGAAGATGATGGTGAATAGGATGGAAAAGTAGAAAATGAAGATGAGGGTAAAAAAGGAAAAGGCAGAGTTGAATAGTAACATCAATAATCATCATGGTTAAACAAAATACAAGGTCACGAAACGAAAAAATAGAGAGAATATATAAATTACTAGCGGAATAAAAACAAAATGGCTGGCCAGTATCGTCTGTATAATAATCTATCCTTTTATGTGTGTTCTTGTTTTGTTACCGTCTCATGTCTCATTTGAGAGAAGTTACAGACAGTTTATTGCTTGGCGCATGCGTGTCTCCTATTTTCCATCTTGTCTTTGTAAATTTTTCCGAAAAAGGAAAATTTGTTAAAAAAATATGATGTGTTATATAAAAGAAGAAAAAAAACATCCATATCTCTTGCTTATTCCTATTAAGGCATATTTCTTTCGCCCTGTTTCTCATTTTTTTTTTTTTTATATTTCCCTTTTGATGATTTTGGTTTCGGGTTTCTCTCTGTGGTGACGCGAACTGTCACCATTTCAACAGGACCTCGGGTTGGAATTCCTGTTTACGACTTTGGAATTACGCTAAGCGAATCATTGTTTAGCAAGCGTCAAAGCCTAACTGCGTCTTTGTTCTACAATTCTCCATTTGCAAATAAAACATAAAATAAAATAAGGTGGGCTTCCATTCTAGATATGAGGTTACCAGTTAACATCGTCATGATGTCATAATTTGTCATTATTTAAACACGTTTTGGGTTCTAACCCATGGTAGGTTAATGTATCGGGGTGGATTATATCATTTTGTGTTAATTTGTTGTGAAGCAATAAATGTATAACTTTGTTGGACTCATCTTTCAAAAAAGTGAAAACGCATAAAACAAAATGGCGTAAAATAAAGACATGTAGTTTCAACTGAGGAGACCTACTATACACAATTTGTCCCAAAATCAATGGTGTTTATAAAATGCTTCTTGACTCGTAACACATGTTTAAAAGAATCATGCTAACCAATTGCAAACATTAAACCTGACTCCATTTCCTACATAGGCATTTCTTTTCTTCTCTAGATTTCTGTCTGTAGAACGCTAGTTTTCTATTCTAGACTATTCTTTTTTTTTTAATCATTTCACCCCATGCAAGGCAATAAAACCACTAAGACGCAAGAATATGACCGACTACGAGAAAAAGAAAATATTATTACAAAGAAAAAATAAAAGAACAGGAATTAAGATGACAGAAGTTAACGATAAACATTGCATTTAGATTTTTGAAGATCAAAGTTAACTGGAAAGTAAAAAGCCGTGAGAGGTCACTACAAACAAGAAGTTCAAAAGAAGAAGTTGCTAGCATAGAACTTACGGTTCCATCTTGCAAATTAATTTACCACCAATCTAGAGGTACGCTTAAATTAAAAAAATCTGGGTACTAAAGAGGAATGTCCATCAGAACAATTAGCATGAAAATATTTATAGAAAACATACAAGCTGTGTTAGACATTTTCATGACGGTCGTCCTCGAGTATAGAATCCAGAGGTTGGCAGTGATTATTTCGGAGACAGTAGGAAAGCGTACTTTAGGTTCACAGTGGATATCACAGCAGAGTGTAGTTCATCCTTCTCCTGGTCGCCTTTGGTCCTTCCGGTAGAGGAAACTAGATGGCCGCCTTTATACACGACGAATACAGTGTTGTGCGGCTTCTGATTGGTCAACCTTCTATTGGTCGACTATAAAGGGAAATAAGTCATTCTGACTCGCTCACTAGTTATATATACAATATACCCAAAAACCGTAACAAGCTGGGCCAGGGCTGTCGGAAAGTAATTACAGCCGAGATGTCAGGTCAGGACCAATGTCATTGCGTATACTTCTTACTATTTTTTCAAGAATCTCTAAATGCATAATAGAAGCACTAGATCAGGTGTGGCACCAATATTCAATACATGGATCAATGGTAGACTTACAAGATAGATTCTAATGAGAAAAAATGTCTTTACTAGCATGCAGAGCTAGAAATCGATTCAATATAATCTTTCCTACTTCAGATCGGCGGAAAACGTTAGCCCCAAAAGCGCAATGAGTCAACTCTTCTGGAGCTTAGCATCATCATGCTGATTGAAGTATAGTTGTCAAATATGCGCAGGAACTTTTCAGTTTTCACGTCCTAGTCTTGATAGAGATTAAAATCATTTACGCGTTCTTGCGCGAGAAAATATTCTCCTCGCTGTCGTCTCTTTCTCACTGGTGCAATGTAGCAAGTCTATCGCAACTCCCATGACAAATGCTCAGATTAATTCTATTCATTAGTTTTCCGCTGTTCTACTTCCAATCACCCTCGATTCACTTATACCCTTCATTCGAACGAAGCCATTTTTATAGCGTTTGGCTGTCTAAAGGAAATAAGCTTTGAAGTAAATGTCTATCAAAAAAGTAAATATTTTTGCGACATCTTGATAATAAAAATAAAAATAATAATAATAATGCATGTGCCTAGATCCGAAGGAGGAAGAGGATTACGTCAACTAGCACTGTCTTACCAACCCACAACTATCGGTCTTCAATGATACCTGGAAACTAATAATAATAATAATGTATGTGCCCAGATCCGAAAGAGGCAGAGGATTACTTCAACTAGAAGTGTCTTACAAACCCACAACAATCGGTCTTCAAAGATACCGAGAAACTAATAATAATAATAATAATAATGTATGTGCCCAGATCCGAAGGAGGAAGAGGATTACTTCAACTAAAACTGTCTTACAAACCCACAACAATCAGTCTTCAAAGATACCTAGAAACTAATAATAATATTGATAATAATACATGTGCCCAGATCCGAAGGTGGAAGAGGATTACTTCAGCTAGAACTGTTTTGCAAAACCACAACAATCAGTCTTTAAAGATACCTGGAAACTACAGAAGGCTGGATGTACATGAATTTGACTTTAGAAGTATAGTCAGTTAAAGTTTGAAATAATTTAATCTGCATGAAGAAAATGATAAAATAGCATGATTGAAAACAACAGAATAAAATGTCTGACTGAAGATATGAAGATGGAACCAGTGAGATAATAAATTAAAGTTAAATAAATAATTGAATCAGTGATTGTATTTTTTAAACGTTATCAACCTTTTTTAGGTTGTTTCAAGCTGAAACATATTTGAGGCTTGTGAGAAATTATTTTGCGAGTGAATATTGTATTGACGATATTTTTTAGATAATAAAGATTTTCAGATCCAAATTCTACTATTGAGCCCATAGCTGGGGCGGGGAAGAGCTGGATTCAAAACTTTCCCAAAGGTATTTGCGCATGAGGGAATGTAACGACCCCGACTAATTCTAACCGAAATCGGCTCTACGATTTCTAAATTCGAGCCGTTATCTATTACGCCATCAGCATATCTAACCTTACTGTACCTGGTAATCCCAAGCGGCCACCCTTCTAGTTACTGACCAGGCTCGGCGCTGCTTAACTTTGGTGATCAGGCGGGATCCAATGCTTCAAAGTGATATGGCCGCAAGCCTGAAGAGTCAGACCCGGATATGAGAAATTTTTTTTACAGAATGACACCTTGCACAAGGCTTGAAAGCCACCCAGGGAAGAGGTATTCTGGTAAAATTGTTATGATGAATGTCGTGCGTTATATAATTGAAAGATGAAGTGGTAAGAAATGTATATTTTGAGGACAAGATGGATTCTGACAAGAAAAATTGTCTAGCACGACAGAGTTGTTATGGCAATTTACCAACGCACGCAAGGACTCTCCCAGCTATAAATAGGAGCAAGTACTGCCTTTTGGAGAGGAACGTTTCCAGCAGTCATCTCTGACAGTCGGGCCGAACATTACTTGCTGTAACATTCTCGTTTGTATATGTTTGCATTACTGTTTCTGTTAATATATTTGTTTAACTCATTTCCTCTCTTTGTGTCTTTATTTCTGGCCCTAACAAGGCCACAACAAGAGTGAACCAACTTTTCTGGCAACAGCCGCATATTATTATTATTATTGTTGTTGTTTTTGTTGTTGTTGTTGTTGTTATCAAGATGTCGCATAAATATTTATTTTTTACAAACATTTTCTCCAAAAGCTTATGTCACGTATCCAGCCAAAGGCTATCAAAAATGGCTTCAAGCGAATAAAGAGGATAGGTCTTAGCGAGGACCAGACTTCTTTGAATATTTGTGAATTGGCTCTACAGAGTCACAAAGAACTGTACGATATATCGGAAGTCACATCTCCTGGAGACTTTCAGCAGCAGTAAAGACTAAAATGGTTAGCACATGTAATTCTAAAAAAAAAAGTCATTATTTTTTTTTTAGAGCGGTCTTGCAAAACTGTTAATCTGTCATTGCATTTTAAACAAAAATAAACTTTTATTTTTATTTTATTATATTCTTTTTTTTTAAATTTATGATTAGTACCTATGCTTTTTTTTATGGCAATTGCATTAAAAAGCTTCAAAACATTATCACAGGTACGCAATTATTCAAGGACGTATTTATCTAGGGACGCAAATGTCTAGGGCCGCAATTGTCTGTGACGCAATTGTCCGAGAGGCAAATGTCCAGTACGCATCTACTCCTAGAATCGAATGCTCTACACATCACGAGTATGTTTTTATTTCATCGGCGTTTTTCTGATGATAGCATTAGCTGTAATTTTCCGTGTCCACAAATTTTTTTCACCAGTGCTTTATTTTTGGAACTTATCAATGGGATCCAAATAAAAAATATAATCTATAAAATCCAGAATAGTTTAGATGTTTGTGGTACGCGCAACTGGAGTGAACTAAAACTGCTACCTTAATTTTCACCTGCTTTAAAAAAGAAATTTTTCTCTCGTTTTTTTTTACTTATGGTAATTACCTTTGTGCTTGCTAAGAGTAATTAAAGGTATTTGTATTCAAATTTCTATATTAAAGAAGTCATTTAAAAAAATGGTAAATTAAAAATTTATCAAAGATACGCAATTATCCAGGGACATATTTGTCTAAGGACGCAAATGTCCAGGGACGCAATTATCCGGTAAGCAATTGTCCGGGTTGCAAATGTTCAGTACGCAACTGTCCGTCTACTGTTGACATTCCACGCCAAAGGTTAAGAAGGATACTCCCATCAGTACTGGAAAGAGCGATAACAGCTACTGGACTTGAGAAACCTATTTACCTGAAAAAATTCTTTTAAGAGAATAATTTTATAAATTTCAACCATAAGTAGCAATTGACTAAACAGTTAATAAAGAAAAAAAAACAAAAAAAATAAACGAGTTGAATAAAAGTACTACAACTAATAGTTTTTAATACTATTTACATTATTCGGACTATTGTCCTCATCTTTATCGCCATATTTATTAAAACGTTTCGGCCGTTGTACGCTCCGGTCTTCTTCAGGTGGTTGGAATGTCGAACTGAACCCTTTATTTCGCTCACTGGGGTAGATTGTTCTAGTTCCACGTGCCATGTCTAATGAGTGTCAGTTCTCCTCCGCCTTAACCAGGTATTGAACTTACACTCATTGCGTTCTCAAGGACACGTGGCACAGTGGATAAAGGCGTTGATTAGATCCAGTGACAGGACCCAAAGAGTATGAGTTCAATACCTGGTTAAGGCAGTGGAGAACTTTGAGAGGGGAATTAACATGAGATAACTGACATCCATTAGACATGGCACGTGGAACTAGAACAGTCTACCCCATTTAGCGAAATAAAAGGTTCAGTTCGACATTCCAACCACCTGAAGAAGGCCGGGGCGTACAATCTCAGAAATATAGACAGATAATAATTTTTCATTTTAATAAATGTCATCTACTGAAAGACTAGAGAGCCACTCAAGGTAGTGGGTTTACTGTTGAAATAATGATGAATGGGGTAAGCTAATATGAGTGGAAGAGAAGATATTAGGAAATGGAAATTATGAGGATAAAGAGGATAGAATGCAATTGCCCATTAATTAGATGATATCAGGAAAAGTTACTCAAGGAAGCACTCACGTTGGATTTTTCCCACAATGTGGCAGTTCATGGGGAAAATGCTCTCTGAGTGGAACCTCCTTCTTACATTTGGAACATGGGGGCAATAAGGCTGATTCGACTCAGTTGGAAACAGCATGAACTTTCCTCGGAAATATATGGAAATATTTACCATGGAAGTAGCGATAGAGGCCATTATCACTCGACGTTGCGTCTGCAGGTAATTCTTGGTTGAGTGGAGAATAAGTTTTCCTCCAAAAGACCGCATAATGGATTTTCAACTTTATAAAGACTATAAAATGATGATTGGGCAGCTACTCCATTGTTTACTTCATCTGATTCTAGTTTTTACCTTATCTGACTGATTTTTTTTCCACATCTGCCTCTGTTTTTACCTCATCTGACTGCAGTTTTACCTCATCTGATTACATTTTTACCACATTTGATTCCTTTTATATCTTATCCGACCGCATTTTTATACCTCATTTGAGTGTATTTTTACCTCGTCTGACACCAGTTTTTACCCCATCTTAAGCTATTTTTTATCTCATCTGACTGCATTTTTTACTTCATCTAGCGCCTTTTTTATCTCATCTGACTACATTTTTTACCACATCTCCCTCCATTTTTACCTCATCTGACTGCATTTTTTTACCATATCTGCCTCCATTTTTACCTCATCTGACTGCATTTTTTACCATATCTGCCTCCATTTTTAATCTCATCTGACTGCACTTTTTATTTCATCTGTTTACATTTTTACCACATTTGATTCCTTTTAACCTTATCCGACTGCATTTTTATACCTCATCTGACGCTATTTTTTACCTCATCTGACGCTATTTTTTAACTCATCTGACTCTATTTCTACCTCATCTGACTGCATTTTTTAACTAATCTGATGCTATTTTTACCTCATCTGACTCTTGAAAAGATGAATTTTAAAAACATTATGAATAAAAAAAAAGAAAAAAGTTAGAAATGTAGAAAATTGATCATGATTTTTACCATTTTTAATCAATTCACCCGAAGTAAGGCAATAATGCCATTAAGACGCAAGGTGTTAGTGAGTATGAGAAAATATGAGAAAAATAAAAGATTATTAAAATGCGAGAAAATTAAACAACAATAATTCAAAAGATAACGATTGACATTGCATTAACATTTTTGCATATCAATTTTGACTGGAAATCAAGAAGCCAAAATAGAGTTCCACAGGCGAGAAGTGCGTGAGAAGAAACTGTTAGCATAGAACTTACGGTTACATGCAACTATTTCAAGTCTAAAATGATGAGACCATGCCACAAATCTTGTAGTACGCTTAATTAATTAACTCTAGGTACCAAAGAGTAAAGTTCTTACGAAATATTTATAATTAAATAGTTTTAAAATTTCAACTTAGCTGCTCGATCAATGAATGCCAAATGTTTCCTTATAAGGAAGCAGCTAATATTAACATTACATTTAGAGACAAGGGGAAGAGATACTACGCTTAGTATTAACTAATCATCCCACGGTGGCGGGATATGGCACAAGGCCGGTTTAAAGTGAGGAGCCCAAGCATGTGCACATGGACCAAATCCAAAAATTGTCCGGTCCATATAACAAACGTCGCGCTGACGTCGAATTTCCACCGTCCCTCCTTGGTGCAATGAGGGAGGTGTGTCTCGTAGGGTAAGAATACCCTGTGCCAAATATCTATAATTTAGTTGTTGTGTTCTGTGAGAAAACAGAAACACAACTGAGAGATGAAAATGTAGTTCGTCTGCCCGAAGGCAGATACAACACTTTGATCCCATGTAATGACCAAAGAGAACACGTGTAGAACTGGCTACTCGGTCAATGAATAGCAAATGTTTCCTTATAAAGAAACAGCTAATATTACTATTACGACTACAGAGAGAAGTCAGAGATATCTAATAATATACAATGATTAATTCCCCTTTCATACGTCCAAGTAATTATTATCCGTTTCGATAAATAATAAAACGTTAAAATGATGACGACGTCATCGGCAAGAGCATTTGAGACGAAATACGAGATGGAGACAAGGAAGAGAACTTTTCGATTGTAGGCAGGAAATCGAATTGACGAAAGTTAAATAAATTACAACCTTGTTTTAAAGAGAGAATATACTCAGAGTATAACCGTTACCCTCTATACTGGGATATTTTACGAGCGTTTTCTCTCCGTCAAAGCACGATGGAGGACAGGGAAATCTGTACAGTAAAAGTCTAAAAGTAGTAACGAGTACGCAGTCATTTCGGCGCCATTTCTATAAAATGGCCGACAGTCACGTTTGCGGGGAATTGTTACTCAAACACTGCACGTATGTCCTTAGTGTTATGACTAAGTTCCCAATGAAATTTAGATTAGTGACTGACTACAGGCTTGACAGTTGACCGGAAGATGAATCTACAACCAGCCTGTGAGTCAGCGAA